TTGATCCCAGCTTCTTCCTCATCTCTGCCCTTCCCCCGGCCGGCAGTGCTGGGCAGGCGTGTTTCTCCACCTCCCGGGGAGGGCGGAGGCCTGGCTCGCCGCACTGGAGGGGAGAACTGGGAGCAGGGACCCTCACTCCTGCAGGGCCCCGTTAATCCATTCCCCCCGCGGAGCGCCCGGGAAACAGGCCAGGAAAAGGCCGGGCCTTGGCCCGAAATTGGCCATCCTCAGCACAAAGATTATCGATCGATCTATCGATCTCTCTATCGATCTATTTATCTATCTATCGATCTCTCTATTGATCTATTTATCGATCTATCGATCTCTCTATTGATCTATCTATCTATCTATCTATCTATCTATCTATCGATCTCTCTATCGATCTATTTATCGATCTATCTATCCCCACCTCCCATCTATTTATCTATCTGCTCCTGCCTTCCAGCCCCCCGGATGTCGGCCTTCGTAGCCCCGCAGACCCTGCAGCAGGCGCTGGCCGTGCTGGTGTGCACCTTCCAGCGCTACGCCAAACAAGAAGGCAACCGATTCACGCTCAGCAGGAGGGAGCTGAGGGAGCTGCTGGAGACGGAGCTGCCCAGCCTGGGCAATGTGAGTAGGCGGGCGGGGGACGGGGGTGCCGCTGGAGAGGAGCCGTTGGGAGGAGACAAGAGCTGTCTCGACCCAGAATGGGTTCCAAACCACGGGTGACAATAATTCCCAGCACCCGGAGGTCTCAGCTGCACAGACCCAGCAGGAGCGACCATCCCAGAGCTCAGTCTAATGTGCACAGGGTGGGCGGGGAAACAGGCACCGAGCGGGGAAGAGAGGTGACCAAGGTCATCCAGCAAGTCAGTGGCAGAGTTGGGAAAGAGCCCCGTTCTCTGGTCAGTGCCCTATCCACTAGGCCACATTGCCTCTTGACTTTTTGTTTGTTTCTATTGTATTTTTCCTTGTCGCGTGTTATGTACGAATTCCCTCCAGCTCTGTCTGAGTGCCAGGTCTGCAGGCCCAAGACCCATGCTCTGCGGCCGGAGCTAGACGAGTAGCCCTGGTAGCAGATAACAGGGCAGGCTGTTCTCAGAGCACCACGGACAATGGAGGTGGGCAGTGACCTCAGGAGGCAACAAGTCCAGCCCCCCGCCCAAGGCAGGACCGACCCCAACTCAATCATCCCAGCCAGGGCTTGGTCAAGCTGAGACCCTTAGGGGCGGAGATTCCACCCCCCTCCCCAGGGAACCCATCCCCGTGCTTCCCACCCGCCTCGGGAAATCGCTTTTCCTAATCTCCAATCTAGGCCTCCCCCACTGCACCTGAGCCCCATTGCGCCTTGTTCTGCATCCGCCCCACTGAGAACAGCCTCTTGGGAACCCCTTCAGGGAGCTGCCGGCTGCTCTCAGATCCCTGTGATGGGGTGGCTCACAGAAGTCCCCTTGGCGTTGTCCCCCGATGTGCTAATCACGCTACTGACGCCTGCTTTCCTGCCCTCGGGGCTCCCCATCCCCCGTCCCACTGGGCCAGCTCCTCTGCTCCCCCCCGGGCCAGGAACCGCATTTGGGGTCCTGTCCCCTGCAGAGCAACGCAGACCGGAACCGGTTCCGCTCCGGGAGGGCTCCGCGCCCTGGAAACCAACCCCCACAAGGGACCAATCCCCAAAATGCATCTTACGTGGCGAAAAAGTTTTCCGCAAGGGCTCCGTCTGCACTGCAGCGCTATGTCGGGATGTGGGCGGTGTCCCGAAAGAGCTAGCCCATGTGAGTCTGTAACTTGAAATCCAAGGAGTGCTCCTGCGGCACCTTAGGGTGCATCTACGCTACTATGCAAATTGCAGGACTTATTTCAATCTTCGTTCGAAATAGCTGAGTTCTAAATTTGGCGCTGTCTACACGGCACTTATTTCGAAATGAATCGCTATTCCGAAACGTCCCTTGCTCCTCGTGGAACGAGGTTTACAGGGACGTCGGAATAGAGAGCCCGTTCTATTTTGAAATAACGGGCGTGCTCAAAAGACGCGGAATAGCTATTTCGGGATATCGTCTGTATCCAGAAATAACACTGCAGTGTAAACGTAGCCTCGGAAACTAACCAAAATCTATCGAATCAGGCGCTTTTGTGGGCACAACCCACTTCATCAGACGAACGGGAGTCGAAATAACAGAAACCAAGCGATCTATATAACAGCAGAAGTACCTGTCAGTTGTAGGACCTGTGTTCATGAGGCTAAGTGGACTGGCCGTGTGTCATCCTTAGCGTTTGATATGGAAATGCAAATATTAAAGGTGAGCGAAATTGGCTTTGGAATGTGCCAGCCAGTTAATGGCAGTGTTGTTTTCAGGCCGTCATTGTCAAGTCTCCGTGGAGTCTCAAGTCTTAATTTAAATAGCAGCCGTGTTAGTCTGGTGCAGCTGAAACAAAAGACAGGACGGTGCCGCACTTGAAAGACTAACAAGATGGTTTATTAGGTGATGAGCTTTCGTGGGCCAGTCAAGTCACTTTTGTCCAAGCCATCAATATCGGCATTTCCCGACACTGTTTTCACCAAGTCGATTTAACAAAATGCGCACGTCTCCAGTCGAGGCTCAAGTCACAACCAAGGAACCCGAGTCGAGTCTCAAGTCGAGTCACCTCGGCGACTTACGTCTGACTCGAGTTCGAGTCGTGGGACTCGGGTCAACAACTCTGGTTAATGGCTTTGCTGGAGATGAATTCCGGTTCTGCCGACTCTGTAATTGGTTCGTTTGCAAAGCAACGAGCTGCCCTCTGGCACCTCTGCCTTGCCCTGCGCTAGGGCTTGATTTCTAAATAACCCCCCTGCGCTCACGTTAATAAGCGGAGAGTCCCCACGACCAATCCCGTTTTTTCGAAACACCGGGCTGGTTATCGCACAATCTGTGCTCCTGCTTTCCTCGGGGAATGACGCGAATTTCCAAAAAGGTCTTGTGAGCCGGCGGCCGCGTGGACGCGCCGGTGCCGCTATTTCCAAATAACGGCTCCCCAGAGTCATTCGACGTAATTACCCCCCGTGCTCCCTGGGGGTCTAAGTCGGGGTAGGCCCCACATTCACGCCGCCTGCCTCGGGTTCACTGGGAGGCTCCCCCGGCGTGGGGACGCGCTCGTTCGATGTCATCTCGGGAGTTATGACGTCGATTTCCGTTATTTCGGTTGTTCCTAGCGTAATGGTGCCCTTCGAGGCTAGCCAAAGTCTGGGGAATCGGGGCTTCCGTGGGGGAGACCCACTTCCTCAGGCGCGCTGGAGAGGAGTAACAGCATCCCAGGGAGGTCTCCTAAGGGGCCACGAGGCTGCTTGTGGCTTTTACCCACGGGGGCGGGGGGGGGGGTTTATCTTCCATGAAGACCAGCCCCTGGATGGCTCCGTGGCACTTTGCAGGCGGGATCCCTTGCCTGCTGTTCTAACCGCTAGGCCATCTGTCCCTGCTGGCCGCTCACCTGCGTGTCTGCCCCTAGGTCCAGGTGAAGGAAGGTGCCTTCGAGGAGCTGATGAGCATCCTGGACACTAACGGAGACGAGGAAGTTGACTTCCAGGAGTACATCCGCTTCGTGGCCGTGGCATGCACCTTGAGCCACGAGTTCTTCTTGGACTTCCCCGCGGCCCTGCCCCGTGGACAGTGAAGCTGCCCCGGCTGGCGCAGGGCCGCGCAACGCAGAGGAGCAGAGTCCCCGGCCCAGCCAGCGGCCACGGTGGAACCTCCTAGCTGTACCGAGGGCTGGACTCCGGCGAGGTGAAGTGTGCACCCCCGATCAGTCATCTTGCCTGTCTTGCGTTCACAGTTCATGTCTGGGCGGGGCAGGGCACAGACACTTCTGACAGAAGGAGGGGTTGCCAGCCTGAAAAGGCCGAGGAACAGGACAGTGCAGGGGCTATGACACACAGTGGAGCTGAGCGGAGTGCATCCAGCAGAGGGCAGCAGCGCGCCAAAGCGCATGGTCGGCCATGACACGCCCTTCCGAAAGTGCATTCAGTGACACAGCCCGGAATCCGCCACGTGCCTCGTTGGGGTTCAGTAAGACCACGAGCCGGGTCCCGGAGACGCCCCGATGTTGCCAGTCTCGGGGAAGGTCCCCTCTTTTGCCCAGCTCAGAACGGACTGCCGTGCCACGGGACGTGTCTGGGGCGAACGGCTCTATCAGCGCCACTTCCTCCTGCAGCTGGCTCCTCGCCAGCCGTGGGCAAGGCCTCTCTGGGCTGCCTCGCCGACTGGGGTCTCCCCACGCGTCCCGCCAGACTGAATAAAGCCTTGGTTGAAACCTGGGCCCGGCGAGCGTCCAATCCGGAGGGCGCGTGTGAACACAGGCGGTGGGGCCGACTCCGCCGGGGGAGGGGACCCCAGGACAGACCCGGCGTGCCGCACGCGCCCACGCCAGGCTGAAGGAGGCCGATCCGGACACGCTGGAGGGTGCATTTCGCACGGGGCCGGCCCTAGGCAGACGTGAAACACGTGGCTGCGGAGGGCACCTGAACATTTGGGGCACCACGTTTGCCCACGCCAGGCTGAAGGAGGCCGATCCGGACACGCTGGAGGGTGCATTTCGCACGGGGCCGGCCCTAGGCAGACGTGAAACACGTGGCTGCGGAGGGCACCTGAACATTTGGGGCACCACGTTTTAGGGGGCCCCACCTGTGCTGTGTCTGCCTCTCTGCCCGCGGCTGCCCTGGGGGCTCTCCCCAGGCCCCGCCCCCCCTG